TGTCGCCGCCGCCGCGGGGAGCAGCAATACACAGCGGCGTCCCTCTCCCAGCCTCTGTGATACAGAGGATGCTGCAGACGTCCTCGGATGATCCCCCACAGCCCGGATGGCAGCGGGTGTGGATGGAAGACGCCGGAGCCCCGGCCCCGCGCGGCCGCACTAGGCCGCGGATGTCCGCCGCCACGAGGGGCGGAAATGTCGCCCGGATTCCACCTCCCAGGTATCCGGAATGACACCAGGGCCCTCCTCTGCTCCACTGTGATCCGCTGCTGCACGGATGGCAGCTGATTCCGAAAAATCGGCGCCGGAGCTCCGGATTATGCGGCCGCTCCGGTCGCCATCTTGGACACGCCCCGTCCAAGATAATTTTAAGTATTGATAAACAAAAGTAATATAAAAACAGCTACATGTTTCAGGGCAACACTACTCTTACTTCATCAGGGCTCAACACAGAATAAAACTTAAATGGACTCAGAGAAAACAGTAACTTCACAGATCTATATTAGAACCAGTATTGAACTCTCCTCATGAAGGAACAACTTGACAACAGTTGCTGAGCAGCAATACTGCTAAATTTTTCTTGGACTATTCTATCCAATTATGGTTTTTGTGCTGTATTTCTATAGTTTGAGTTACTGTTGGGTGCCCATTGATGGAAACCTAGCCGTCTGGGCCTTGCCGGAGCTATTCAGCTTGTTTGACATTTTCCTTCATCTGACTACACTTGCCAGTCTAAAAGTTCTTCCTCTTCGAGTATGTTGTTCTGGAGTTTCTTTGCTCTCGGCAGCAGAGTAGTAGTGGTGTGGTGTGGTGTGTGTGTGGTGGTGAAAGAAAGGTAAGTATGGGGGCATTTCAAGATGTAACCTCTCAACAAATTACAACACATGATTGATTAAAATATATATTTTTTTTATTGATACACATATCCAAATGAATATAAGATTAAAGTTACCATAATAAAAACACTAAAATACATCATCTTTAACACAGAGGTAACCAACACCTAAAGAGGCTGGACCATAACTCCCATTGTTTATACCATCATAGTCATATATTTTTAAGCCCAGATAACCAAGACTTGTAACACATAGCAATTTCTTGTTAGTTGGTTATGCAAATGGTTCCACTCAACAAGTTTTGCTCTGTGCTACCTCTGAAGTAACGTGGAACAATGAAAACAATGAAAGATGCTGGTATTTGCAAACAGATGCCTAATGTCTATATGTTGTCATAGGGTGCTAGAACTGCTCCCTCCTGTGAAGGTGAAGTAGGTTTCAAAAAGCAACCATTGCTGGAACAAAGTTGGTGATCCCCATACCAGCCAGGACATAATAGGGGTGTAACACCCTCCTAGTTAGCTAGGGGAAGCTAGTTCAATTGTCAGCTAAGAGGGCTGAGCAACAGCCTGGGTGTGATAGCTAGCAGGGTCAAATTTAGGTAAGAGTTGAGAGCTATCTGGAATTTCCCCCGGTTCTAGAACTTTGGAGAAGGGTCTAGAAGCAGTGGGTGGACTTGAGGAGTGACTGGTCTGTACTCTTAGAGGACCCTAGCCAATCCCCAACAGGAGGCTTGGCAAGGGGCCAGGATAGTCTTTAAGAGTAACTGAACCTGCTCAGCTGCAGGAGAGTTGTTGGAGGAGAGCAGGAGGAGAGTGTGAAAAGAGGATATAAGGCTGAAGGCAGGAGCCTGGGAGGGGGCCCAGATGAGAAAGGGACTCACCTCCAGGCAGAGAGGGACCTTGGAAGGCTGAAAACTTGGGACTTGTGTGGCAAGGAAAAAGCAGCTCAGCTAGTAGGCCTGGTAGCAGCCACTGACCCACCGGCAACACAGGAGATGAAACAAGTGAGTAAACCTGCACCCCCTGGGCCACATAGGGGAAGGAGCACTCTGGTGGGAAACTGGATTAGCTGCTACCCGGGACTGTTTTATTATTCAAAGTGACAGGCACTGGATCCCCTGGTGAGGGATTCACCCAGAGCTGCTGGATTAAGGAGAATCAAGGGTCTGAGGTGGTACATCAGGAGATGCTGGCTAGCTCTCCACAAAGAGGATTTTTTTTGTGTAAATACTTGTAGATAATTTCAGGAAGTTTGTCCTCAGTTCCAGTTCCATTGGGCATCCTGTACACCCCTTACCCCACCCAAGTTTATTATCCCCTAATAAAACATCAAAACAAGCTCAAGGACTAGTTACTGTCCCCTGGATGCAAATCTGAAGGAAATGCATGTTGCCTGGCTGTACAGGACTATAGGAGGACCCAAATACAGCAACTCCTAAGTGGGTAGTGCTAAAGGGGCATTAAAACTAACCTGCTGTCTTGTCCTGAAAAAGTTTTGTTTTTTCCTACAGTTTATCAATAAACAGCACTGTGAAATTGGTAATTAGAAATTATATTTATTTACCATATTTTTTGCTCCATAAGACGCACATTTTTCCCCCCATAAAAGGGGGGAATATGTCAGTCTCTGGTCAACTCCTGTACTGTGTCCGCAGTCTCTGGTCATCTGTACTATGTTCACAGTCTCTGGTCATCTGTACTATGTCCACAGTCTCTGGCCATCTCCTGTACTATGTTTGCAGTCTCTGGTCATCCGTACTATGTCCACAGTCTCTGGTCATCTCCTGTACTATGTCCTCAGTCTCTGGTCATCTGTACTATGTCCACAGTCTCTGGTCATCCCCTGTACTATGTCTGCAGTCTCTGGTCATCTGTACTATGTCCACAGTCTCTGGTCATCCCCTGTACTATGTCCGCAGTCTCTGGTCATCTACTGTACTGTTTCTGCAGTCTCTGGTCATCTCCTGTACTATGTCTGCAGTCTCTGATCATCTCCTGTACTATATCTGCAGTCTCTGGTCATCTCCTGTAGTAGGTCTGCCGTCTCTGGTCATCTCCTGTACTGTGTCTGCAGTCTCTGGTCATTTTCTGTACTATGTCTGCAGTCCATTGGTTCAGAATATTTTTTTTTTCTTGTTTTTCACCTCTAAAACCTAGGTGCGTCTTATCGTCAGGTGTGTCTTATGGAGCAAAAAATAAGGTGTGTATTATATTTATTTTTACCTTTCTTTTCAGTTTACCTTTATATTCAATTGTATTATTCAAAAGAAATTATCTGTATTTTTCTTCCCATCCTCCATTTATTAAAACATATTACCATTTTATTTTTATAGGGCATTTTGACCTAATTTGTTGAATTGTAACAAGACTGAGATTGTGTGCACCCCAGTGAGTCACCCACAGCCACAAAATATGATCTCAGCAAATCTGCTCATCTTGACTTCACTAGCACAATATATTCTCTTTTTCTGCTTCAGTAACTCCTTCTGGGTACCTCACACCTGAGACAACATTGCTGCGCTTTCTCTCATATTTTCTGGTTGTGAAGGGTGTTAATGATGAAATTTAATTTAACTGACCGGAATGTCTTTATAAGCAAATGTCTCAGGGTACTCAATTGTTTGTGAATGTGTGCATATTATTTTATATTATGTTTCAGCTATCTTGAAGCACTATAAATAAGTTTGCAAATAAATTCAAACCCCTACAAGCCTTAAACTCTTGGTATAAACCATGCATATATACTGTATATATATTGTCACTGGATGCGGCTTTGTCACTGTAAAAATATAGGAAATTGTGACACAGGATTTGCACTCCAGGTAAATACAATGTTACAGGCTAGTGTTGCTGGGCAGAGAAAGCTGTCTATTTGGCTTTCTCTGGATTCCTCAGTTCTGGATCGGAAAATTCAATCCTGTGTCTGGGTTTTGCTAGACACCTCCAACCTGGTTGACTACACAGGTGTATAGGGTCATTATACACTCAAGTCTGAGGATAGCTAAGGGCTCGCAGTTTGGAGACAGATCTCAGCTGGGAAGACATTGGAGGGTCAGAGGGCCCCAGTCAGAAGGCAAAAGTCAAAGAGTCTCAATTCTAGGAATCAGGTCAGTTCCCACTGGAGTGTCAGGAGATCCCGAATCCATAGGCCAGAGGTGGGCCATGCAGCAGGGTGCTGTGACTAAAGGCTAGAGAGCCAAGTATCCAGGAGAGCTGGACAACACAGTCAGAGGGACTGGTAAGAGGAGCAGCATGTTTCTGCAATTGAAGCTATAGTGAGCTTATGAGCCAAGTGGCTTGGAATTTTCCAGTGGTTGTATTCTGCTAAAGCTGGAAAAGTTCCCCTGCGTGGGAAACCTTATGTTAAACTGTTGTTTTGCTTTCTGCTGTTTTAATAAAAGATAGCTACCAGTCCTATAGAAATAGTTTCTATCTATAATGGACTCACTATATAATGGCATTTACCACGAGAGATAAATACCATGTCACTATATTTTGCCAAAAGTATTGGGACGCTTGCCTTTACACGCACATGAACTTTAATGGCATCCCAGTCTTAGTCTGTAGGGTTCAATATTGAGTTGGCCCATCCTTTGCAGCTATAACCGCTTCAACTTTTCTGGGAAGGCTGTCCACAAGATTTAGAAGTGTGTCTATGGGAATTTTTGACCATTCTTCCAGAAGTGCATTTGTGAGGTCAGGCACTGATGTCAGACTAGAAGGCCTGGCTTGCAGTCTCCACTCTAATTCATCCCAAAGGTGTTCTATTGAGTTGAGGTCAGGACTCTGTGCAGGCCAGTCAAGTTCCTCCACCCCAAACGTTCTCATCCATATCTTTAAGGACCTAGCTTTGTGCACTGGTGTGTAGTCATGTTGGATCAGGAAGGAGCCATCCCCAACCTCTTCCCACAAAGCTGGGAACATGAAATTGACCAAAATGTCTTGGTATGCGGCCGCCTTAAGAGTTCCCTTGACTGGAAATAAGGAGCCAAGCCCAACTACTGAAAAAAAACCCCACACCATAATCCCCCCACCACCACCAAACTTTACAATTGGCACAATGCAGTCAGGCAAGTACCGTTCTGGCACCTGCCAAACCCAGACATGTCAATCAGATTGCCAGACAGAGAAGCATAATTCATCTTCCCAGAGAACACTACTCCAGAGTCCAGTGGTGGCGTGCTTTACACCACTGCATCCGATGCTTTGCATTGTACTTGGTGATGTAAGGCTTGGATGCAGCTGCTCGACCTTGGAAACTCATTCCATGAAGCTCTCTACACACTGTTATTGTGCTAATCTGAAGGCCACACAAAGTTTGGAGGTATTTAGCTACTGACTCTGTGCACTTCAGTATGCGCTGACCCTGCTCTGTCATTTTACGTGACCTATTACTTTGTGGCTGAGTTGGTGTTGTTCCCAGTTGCTTCCACTTAGTTATAAAACCACTAGCAGTTGACCGTGGAATATTTAGTAGTAAGGAAATTTCCCAGATGGACTTATTGCACAGGTGGCAACCTATCATGGTACCCCACGCTTTAATTCACTGAGCTCCTGAGAGCGACCCATTCTTTCACAAATGTTTGTAGAAGCAGTCTGCATGCCTAGGTGCTTACATGTTTTATACACCTGTGGCCATGGAGGTGATTGGAATACTTGAATCCAATGATTTGGAGGGGTGGCCCAATACTTTTGGCAATATAGTGTGTATATATTTTAAAGTGAGCCTGAACTGGCCTAGAAAGGGTCTAAAAATGCACCTAGAAATGTGCCAGCTCAGTACCAGTGAGCAAGGTAACACTAAGCCCCACTCCTGTAATTTATCTGTCAAATTATAGTGCTTCTACTGCCCAATGTGTTTCTGAATTGTTACATATAGCCTAATAAGAGTCAACATTGCAAATGACTTCAGCATATCTTTTTGTCAAATGAGTTGCATAGGGTGCAACATAAGAGATGTATCCACAGACAGTCAGATCTAGTAGGTTGCTCAAAGGACAACTTCACCTTAATTAAAGTCGTCCTTCAAGTAGCCCCTCTGAGTGCAGCCCACCTGGTAAAATACTTACATTCCTCCCTCTTCCAGAAATCTTCTCTGTGTGGCCCTGCCTAGCACAGTACAGCCTTTGCAAAGAAAAATATTTAGCCAAAAGCTACAACTGCCAGCCAAAAACTATACAAAAAACAGGATCTATACAGCATGTATGCATTATATCTCAGCCAGCATCTTATACTAGGATATAGATTCTTAGGCTTGAAGATGGCTCCTTCTTTCTAGAAATAAAAGCAGATGGAGAAATTGCTAGGGGAAGAACTGTGATATCTTAATAAGGCAATACATGCATGTAATACATTAATTGGTTTGCATGAATTTAATATGAAAAGTTATGTTTGACGATTGGTTCACTTTAAGCGCAACAACCAACATATCCCAGTATGATCCCAGTATGATGCACTTACATTAGTAGGGATACAATTTGACTGTATATCATACAACATACATACTGTTGCACCTCATCTGACGCATTGCACATTTAAAGTGTGAAGCTCCCCTGAATACTTACCTGAGCCCGATCCAGCGATGTGCACAAGAGCAGGGGCTCTCCCAGGTCTCTCTTTCCTCATTGGCTAAGACACAGCAGTAGGAGTCGTTGGCTCTCACTCCTGTCAATCACAACCAGTGAGGGGGCAGGACTGAGCCATGCTTTTTCTGTCCCATAAACACACAGCACTGGTTCATGAGCAAGCACACACGAGTGCCCCCATAGCATGCAGCTTGCTCTGGAGTCACTCAGCAAGGGAGGGGGGCCAGAAGTGCTGACAGAGGACCTAAAAAGAGGAGGATTGGGGCTATTCTGTGCAAAACCATTGCACAGAGCAGATAAGTATGATATGTTTATTATTTTAAAGAAAAAAAATGAACCTTTAAATTGAAAATTGGTTTAACATACCTTTATTTATTTACTAAAATTGTTTATTAGCTTGCAGCAACCAATTTGAAAAATGTTTTAATTATTTAAATAGTCTACTACTTCTCTACAACACTAATAAAATAGATTTGAATGCTTGCTGTTACAGCTTATGAGTACTTCTAGAACACTGTTAAAGTTCTTAAAGTGATGCTAAAGTCTTACAACACGTCATACTTACCTGCTCTGTGCAGTGGTTTTGCACAGAGCAGCCCAGATTCCCCTCTTCTTCGGTCCCCCACCAGCGCTCCTCGCGCCTCCCTCCTTACAGGGGCCCCCACAGCAAGAAGCTTCCTGTGGGGGCATCTGAGCAGGCACAGTCGAGCATTGGCTTTGTGTGTCCATTCACACACAGAGTCGTGGCTCAGCCCCTCCTCCTCCCTCTCCCCTCTCCTGATTGGCTCACTGGCTGTGATTGACAGCAGCAGGAGGCAATATATCCTGCTGCTGCCTCAGTCAATCAAGAATGAGAGTCCCCAGAGAACTGAGGCTCTGTGGACATCGCTGGATCAGGATGGGGCTCAGGTATGTCTTAGGGAGAGCTTATACACACAAAAGGTTTTTTACCTTCATGTATAGAATGCATGAAGGTAAAAAACCTTGAGCCTTTAGAGCCACTTTAAATACTAAAAAATAGTTGCATGGGTTTGGCAACTATACTGTATCTCGTCATATGTAATTTCCTTATACTCTGAGTGGAAGTATTTTGAAATAGCAATTCAGATTTTGCACTCTGTGCCAGGTTTGTTGGCAGTCATATTTCGGAGATTATCACTTTGATATAATTGAGCAAGAGTGCCAGGATTTTGTTGCCATTGCTGATTTTATGTAATGTGTACATGTTTGCATGAACAGTTGTATTTTCCAAACAATTTTATGATATTGCTACTAAGTATAATTGAGTATCCCACAAGCTCCATTACATCAGTGATTCCAATTACAGTTTATTTCCTTTCTTACTGAATTATCACTTTAAATTTAATCAATGATATATGATTCAATATTGGTTTTACAGGTAATTAGCCCTTTGGTAGCTATTAACTTATATATATAGGCTGTAAGTCTAATCTAAAATGCTGGTATTTAAAATCTATTTGCTAATACTGAAGATTTTGGTATAGAGAGGGCTGCTGTTAGAAACCACGGGGCCCCATACAGCCCACCTAACAAGGCTCCCACTCCAAAAAAAAACACCGTTTACTGTGCTTCAGTTATGAATGTACACAGTGAGTGATTGGTACTGATCACTCACTGTGTTCACTGAAGAAAGGGAGGGGCTGGTAAATGTGATGTATTTACTGGACTCTTCCCCCACTCTCTATCCTGAACGATCTTATTGTGTGCTTGCAGCTGCTGGTTGAAAGAAGAGGAGGAAAAATGGCAGCACCATGGGGGTGGGGCACACAGGGGGGCCTGGGCAGCACGGGGAAACATATGTTGCACAGTGAGGGAGATGGGTGTGGCAGGGAGGGGGACATTACTAGAACCTATCCTCTCTCTGGCTCTCTCTGCAGCAGCTGAAAGCCAGCAGGAGGGGGAGGAGAAGAAGCCTGCTTTCAGCTGCTGCAGAGAGAGACTCAAACAGGGGATCGGTTCCAGTAATTGCCTCTCTGCTGTGCCAATCACCCTCCTTGCCCACATCCAATTCACCCAGCTGCCTGGGCCCCCCTGCTGATCTGGGCCCCATACAGGAGGACTGGTGGCACCCCCTTATTCAGGGCCCTGATTAAAGTATTAAGGAAGGGGGAAAATTAATATGGATATTTCAAATTTGTGTGGATGCTTGTTTGCTGAATTGGATTTTTATCACTCACATTACCTTTTTTGGATGTCTTTAGACTGGTCATATGACATGCTAGGTACTCTTGGGATCCTCTCCCAGCAGTGGGCAGTCTTCAGTGACACAGAGAACAGCACTAACATGATGGGGTTAATGCCGTTCTCTGTGTCACCACAATGTGAGTGCACGGCGCACTATTCTAGGTCACTCAACCTAGAAGATTGCAGACATTTTGTTAAAGCAAAGAGGTACTAACCTATCTCTTCAGGGAAGCCTATCCTGCCTTCAGCTAATAATGGAATCTTCTATTCCTCCTACCAGTCCATCCCCCACAGTTATTACCTTTTGTACCACTAGCCCCTCCCTCTTAAGTAAGCTCCAAGGAGCAGGGCCCTCCTAACCCTCTTGTATTGAACTGTATTGTTGCTGTATTGTCTCCCTTTTATATTGTAAAGCGCTGAGCAAACTGTTGGCACTATATAAATCTTGTATAATTATAATACTTGGGGGGCAGCACTGGTAACCAGCTGAGTATTGCAGGCGGTGTTGCTTTTACATTTTAATTACCTCCCAGGGTGCCAGCAAACAACAATTGCTCTAAATTAATTTTAGCAAGTACAAATTTTGAGTTTAACGTGGTTGTAAACCCTTACATATACCCAGTAAAGTGACTGGCCTCAGGTGATACACAGAGATGAAACATTCTCCTACATAAGTTGTGCCAGTTAATCTGCAGTCTTCTCTTCTCTACATCCAGTCAAAAGGCAGAATTTATAAAGCTTGTATGAGCTTTGAGAAAATGGGACAGAGAGCTGAAATTATATTCTGCAGAGGTCAGAGCTGTGGTTGCTGATTGGAGGAAGAGACACACCCCCTTCACACAGCACAAAGGAACAGAGTTGAGGCTTGCAATCACAGCTGTGTGCTGGAGCTCCCTCCCTTGTCACCTTTTTCTCTTGGTGTCAGGAAAACTTGTCAGAAGTGATTCATGAGGGATGAGGCAGCAGAAAGAAATGGCACTTAGTGCCCTGCATAGAGCTATGCTTTGTTCATATTTACAACCCCTTTATTTACAAACTGGAAGTTTTCAGGCAGTGATATAACTTCTTGTTTGCTGTACCAGAATATATTTATGATTATATTGGCAATTACTAATCACATATATATTTAATAGACTAGGGTCTGGAAAATGTGTGAAAAAATAGCTTTTTGAAAAAAAAACCTTACCCATTGATCATTCGTACCTGTTTTCAAACAAATCACTAGGAGATGTAAGTTGCGGCTAAATCTGACATCAGTTACAAATGAAATCTCATTTATTTAGCATGTATTATTTAAGCCCTAATAACTGTATCATTATCTGTGTTTGAAAAAAACAATGTTCTCAACCTTCCATAGATGTGAAAGTTTTATAATTTACACTTTTTTCCAATTAAAGCAGTTTGACAGCCTGCACCCATATATGTAATGCATAAAATTTGGTATTATGTAATATGCATTTTACTTTTTAAAACACAAAATAGGAAATCATATTCATTTTAATAGAAATGTAAAATGATCTTGAACATTATACTATGAAAATAACCACATTTGTTCAAATATTAGAGGTTTGACTGCTCCTCCACCTCCTGCTGCAATATTCAAGTTCCCATTTAAATAAACGTTTTTGGCAGCACTGGATGTCTTTTAGGTTTGACAAAGCAAGTAGCAAATCAATAAAAAGATGGGAGTATTTTTTAATACAAATGGGTAGGAAAAAATAAGGGATGAGTCCTGGGACATTATCTAGTATAAAAGCTATGTATATGCTGCTATGGAAGGAGGCGTGAAAGTGAACCTATTGCTTTTCCCTTCATGGACAAAGGACAGGTTTCCTTTAAGAAGGTTTACAGTAAGAAAAAGTTTGCTTTAATTTCAATAATATGCCGACAGAACGGGATCACTTGCCTTACAGCACAGAATC